ATTAAGTAGACGTCAGGCAGTAATAAACATCATAGTTGAAAAAAAACAAAAAAACAATATGACTGTTCTGCTTGGTATGTAAGACCTTAAAATCTTTGATCTTTGAGTTCTTTGAAGCATGAAATCACCTTCAGTTCATTTGTGTCTTGACGTGTTTGTTTTTACTGTACAACCCATTTGGTGCAAACGGTAAATGTTAATCAAAGCCATACATCTCAGGACAGTATACAAATGCCTTAGAAATCTAACAGTCTAAGTGACAAAGATGTATAAAATCTAAAACATTATTGGAGTTCAGATGGAATTTATGGTTTTCAAGTCTGTTACGCTCTATGAACACAATGTGAATGAGAAATATGTCTTATGAAATGATAATGTTCCACAATGTTAATGCTTGCTCAACATACAGATAATGAATATTCTATCAAGCACCTTTAAATGTGAAAAGCATCAAATGTACAAAAGAATTAAAAGCATTAGGACAATTCCATTATACAATAAAAGTGACAACATGAAATATTGAGGTACATTTGACTGAAAAGAATTAAAGCAGAGGAGAGAATGGCTCATCACATTAACATTATTTTTTTTAGATGGAGCCCATCTGACAGTTTGAACATACAGAAGAATGAATAAAGAGCGTCCACTTCAAATCTGCTGGGGCTTTTAAAAATTCCTTGTTTAAAAAGCCTTACAACTTCTCCCATATTTAGACTTTGTTATAAATAGAGAATAGTAGACATTTTCAATCACAAATAACTGCAAACAAAGCAACCAAAACCTTTAGGATTGAAAATCAAAAGGAAATATCACATTTCAATCAAAACATCTAACAGCACTTTTTATGGGTTAAAATGATAAAATGTTCATTACATTCAGGTTTTTAATGTCTTGATCTGTAACAATAACTGATATGCTTCATATGAGCATTTTATCAGTGTATAAAAAGAGTTTTTTTTGTTTTTTTAATGTGATGCAATTTGTTTAGAGAATCAATTAGTAAGAAGAATAATTCATAACCTAGAAACATACTCAAGTATGCAAATGTAAATGCTTGGCCAATGCATTGCAAGTGTGTGGTCTTGTACTGTACTCTTTTGAGATCTCGTATGGTGTCAGAGACCACGGAGGCTCTCTGTAGTCTTTATACCTGGAGGAAAAGGAGAAATATGTCATTAAATATTTATGTAGAGTGTTAATTGAGTTTAAAGCTCCTATTATAGGTACACCGTACCTGCAGATGTCCACATGGAAGCCCAGGTGGAAAGGGTCCAGTGGGGCGGTACCATTCTGGAAGTGACTGACATTAAAGTAAGACAGAGTGTGGTTGACAAAGCCGTGCATCGACCCATCTGGACTGTACATGTACTGATAGACCAGCCGTGGAATAAAGTCTGATGTGAAGGAGATCACAAATGCCTACAGGAAAGATGGCAATATTTGTGAAGGATCATTTCCTTTTTTGAAATTTAATTGCACACAGGGGGCACACTTAAGCATGCAGAAAATTATTTTCATACATTTAGAATAATTTTAAATATGTAGAAACATTCACACTTCAACAGTCATACAAATGTGTGCATGTGAACGGTTTCTAGCTACTGTACAGCATTCAAGATGGTGAAACTAATTGCAGTAAAATCTTTAGTTCCCACGCATCTGCCAAAAAGGCCAATTCATCATAATCTTCTCCTTCAGCATGAAAATCATATCCTCACTGACTCCAATGAAGAAGAAACTTCCTGCTTGCCGTAGAAGAGCCCCAGCAGCGGATTACGGTGCTGACAGTTCTCGCAGCTGAAAACGCAAATCTCCCCTGCAGCTCTCAATGAGACTACAGCATAAAGCATATTGCATATTTTCAGTGGCGTTTGGTGCAAAATGCTGTGCCATGGATGTGGCTCATGCAGAGCACTCCTGCACTCCTCGGATGAGCACTGTTTGGACAAGCCCACGAAGAGGCTGCGCTGTTCTCATTACAAGAGCACGCATCTCGCCCCGCTGCACTCGTGGATCACTTCCTTTGTAGATAGCGACCCCGCCCCTTGTGCTCTGAGGGGAAAAACAGTGGAGTTATGGGGCAAAGCAGATGGGTCCAAGTGAGTTATGCTTTAGGGAAATCAGATACTTAGTTCTTCTGGTGGCCCCATTCTGGCGGAACCAGTCTTGGTTCCCTGAGTTGGTACAGCTGCTATTGGCAGCCCCTTGGCTGATTCCGCTGAAGAAGGACCTTCTCTCTCAGGTGAGTGGGACAATTTGGAGCCCCCAACCAGAGTTGTGGAGCCTACATCTGTGGCCAACGAGGGTTGCCAACACTATCTCAGAGACCCAGAGACCCATCTACTAGATGCTTCTATGCCCTCAATGGTCTGAATTCTCTGACTGGTGTGCAGTCCGGGATGAAGACCCATCGTCTTGCGACATGTCATCCATCTTGTCCTTACAGGAGCTGCTGGATAAGGGGCGCACTCTTTCTTTGCTCAAAGTATACGTGGGGGCCATAGTAGAGAATCCATGCTCTCATGGCCGGCCAGTCTATAAAAAAACACAACTTAGTCGTGAAGTTTCTGCGGGGAGCTAGGAGACTGAATCTGCCTCGCCCTTATACAGTTCTGACCTGGGATCTATCCACGGTCCTCAGGGCCCTTCGAGGCCCTTTGTTCGAGCCCCTTCAGTCGGCCAACTTGCGGCCCCTATAGCTTAAGACAGCCCACCTGCTGGCTTTAGCATCAGTCAAGCGAGTGGGTGACCTGCAGACGCCCTCTCTGGGTGCTTCCTGCCTTCATTACCCTATTAGCTCTTCCCGCCTCGGAGGATGAACGGGCTGCTAATTTACTCTCCCCAGTCCAGGCCCTTAGGATATCTACAGAGCAGTATCGCCAATCAGAGCAGCTTTTTGTGTGCTTCTGAGGCTGATCTAAAGGGCTGCCAGTTATGAAGCAGAGATTAGTTTCCCTTTCAGATGCAAAATTGATGGTAGGAAAGAATTTACAGTGATGGGCAGAAGCGTAACTACATGTAGTGACGCTACTAGCTTAACTACATTTCTCAGTAGCGTGGTGGTAGCATCAACAAAAGCTACATTTTTCAAAGCATTTGAAAGCTCAAGCTCAAATCGTAAATATAACAGCTAAGGATCACTGATCCTGGACCAGTAAAAGTGATGCCACCGCCACTAAACCTCGTAACTCCATTGGCTGTTCAAACTGTCAGTCAAACCTCATTATTCCTCCCGCCTCTCTTGTGAATGAAGTGTGGTGCGCAGTTTGGAGCATTTCAGATTGTTTGCAGTCTGACGGTAAATAAAGAACTGTTGATTGAATAAGTACAGCTTTTTCTTTGCTGAAGAAACACTATATTTATAAAGGCTAATGTTTTTCTTTATTTGAGGAGCGGAGAAGAGTATCTTAGTCCAGCATTTGTTGTCGAGTCACAGCTAAATAGCTTGTGCGAAGAGCTAAATCTTTTGATATTTTGGCCAAATAACAGACAAAACTGAGCGCCAACATAGTGACAGAAATCTGTATAACCTGTACGTTCCTGAAAACCTAAACGCAATGCATGCACTGCCTTTGATGTGGTTGTAATGTCGGGAAAAAACATTCGCTGGTCAAAAACTTGATTTTGGTGAAATGTTAATAATATAATGACACATTCAACGAATGCAAATAATCATAGCCTATCTGTAGGCCTATACATTTATATGGTAACACTATACAATAAGATTTCATTAGTTAATGTTAGCTAATGTATCAACTAACATGAGCATACAATGAACAATACATTTATTACAGTATTAATCTTTGTTAATGTTAGTTAATGAAAATACAGTCATACATTGGTAGTTTAAGTTTGTTCACTGAGCATTAACCAATGTTAACAAAAACAACTTTTGATTTTAATAATGCATTAGTATATATTGAAGTTAACATAAATAAATGCTGCAGAAGTATTGTTCATTCTTAGTTCATGTTAACGTCTCGGTTACATATGGTAACCCTCGTTCCCTCAAGGAGGGAATGGAGACGTCACGTCAGATGACCGACGAATTGGGATCTCGCTACCCAGAAATAGAGGAATTGCTCTTTGTCGAGTATTTGGGTACCACCGACCGAGAGGTCAGTGGCGGAAAAAGATGAAAAGATTCTCCGCCCGGCCCTCCTCCGGGGGAGGGAGTGGTGTGCTTACCATCTCCCGAAGAACAGGTCCCTCCACCTCTGGGTTGCCCATCTCAGGGCCTCCTTGCTCTTTCGCTTGCCACCAGGTTTGGCGGCGGCCTGGACGGGCGGGGGTGGCTGCCCTGCGACCGGCTCCATGGCACAGCTTTGCCTCTCGGCGACGGCAGCAGCTGCACGATGTACTCTCTCGGCGACGGCAGCAGCTGCACGCCGGGGCAGGATGTACTTGATGGCCTCAGTCTGCTTTGGTCAGCAGAGAACTGCTGAGCAAGTTCTCCACTGTGTCGCCGAAAAGGCCGTTTTGGGACACGGGGGCATTCAAGAATCGTGTCTTGTCCGTCTCGCGCATGTCAGCCAGTCAGAGCCAGAAATGGCGCTCCTGGACCACCATAGTGGACATCGCACGACCCAGAGACCGCGCCGTAACCTTCGTCACTCGTAGCGCGAGGTCCGTCGCGGTGCGGAGTTCTCTGCGAACTTCCGGGTTGTGACCACCCTCGTGCAAGTCCCTCAGTGCCTTGGCCTGTTGCACTTGCAATCACGCCGTAGCGTGTAAGGTTGGAGGCAGCTTCTCCACAGGTCATATAAGCATCGCTGGCCAGTCGAATACCTACAGACCTGGGAGGGGAGGCACGGTTCTCCCTGCCGGTTGGAGGTGGTATTAGGACACAACTGCATCGCAACTGACTGCTCCACCGGGGGGACCCTTGTAAACCCCTAGCTGCACCACCATCGAGGGTGGTGAGGGAGGAGGAACCAGCAGATCGGTTTCCGGCAGTAAAAGGTGCCGTCCACGACCTGGTGAGCTCCTCATGCACCTCCGGGAAGAAAAGCACCGAGGCGGGGCGCTGAGAACCAGCGCAGACCACCCTGAGAACCAATCGTGCAACCTTGAGGGCTCGGGAAACAGTGGAAGTCTCCACTCGAGCCCTACCCCAACAGCGGCCCGGGAAAGCATAGCCATTATTTCTGGATCCGATTCAGGCATTGCTACAGTCCCGGAGGAGAGCAGCGCAGCCGAATCTTCCTCTCCAGAAAGCTCTGGCTCACCCTCCGATGCAGCAATCGACATCTGGTCATTGGGAGGAGCGCCAAAGGATACGGCTGGTACGCTCCTTGTAGAGGGCCCAGCACGTTCCATTGGCAGCTCAACTGGCTCAGAGTGCCTCAGACCGCCTGCGCTACTGCATGAAGTAGCTAGATCGAGGCAGAGGCAACGGAACTCCGCCCCTTGAGGAAACCGGGCTTGGCCCGCGACTCCGAGATGATCATCTTCTCGCAATAAGAAGATGACTCATCCACAAACGCCACCTCAGTGTGATGTTGAGTCCATCACCCAGCACCAGGTAACGACTGCATCCAGAAACGCCCCGGTGATACGTTGTCTGTAGCAAGACCCACATCGCCAAAGGATACGGCTGGTACGCTCCTTGTAGAGGGCCCAGCACGTTCCATTGGCAGCTCAACTGGCTGCGGAGTGCCTCAGACCGCCTGCGCTACTGCCTGAAGTAGCTAGATCGAGGCTGAGGCAACGGAACTCCGCCCCTTGAAGAAACCGGGCTTGGCCCGCGACTCCGAGATGATCATCTTCTCGCAATAAGAAGATGACTCATCCACAAACGCCACCTCAGTGTGATGTTGAGTCCATCACCCAGCGCCAGGTAACGACTGCACCCAGAAACGCCCCGGTGATACGTTGTCTGTAGCAAGACCCACATCGTCTTTACAAAGACGTAACGTCAAGTTTGCCACGCAACTTCGTCTTTAAAAAGACGCACCCGAAATTGCTCCTTTAGGGAAAAAGCTCTTTTAGCATGCTGAGGCGCACAGGGGAGATGATCATCTGCAACACAAACAGGGGGTAGTGCAGCCTGATGTGTGCAACCCACTCGACACGGGAAACCACCACCGCTGAAGCGCCGTACTGCCAACACGAAGAGCTCTCCAAGAGCGCGCTGAACTCGTTCAGTCTTCTTCTCTCAGTAGAATAGTCAGGAGCAGAACGATGTGATTGCTCGGCTCTGAAGCGAAAAGCTGAACATGCGCTGCATCTGCTGCCTACTTATACTCACGCTGTGATTGGCGGCAGCTGGAAGCAATAATCGCATGCCAATGTGCATTTGCTCATTTAGTTTACACTCTAAGTAGATTGGTCTCTTCTAAGCGAGATCCCATTTCGTCGATCATCCGACGTGACGTCGAGAGTGACCGACTGAAAGGGAACTAATGTTAACTAATGAACCTTATTGTGAAGTGTTACCATTTATATAAATGCATCTGTATAGCCTGCAATAAAGCCACAATACCAACTACTAGGGATGTGCCGATACGAGTATCGGTAACGAATGGTTCATGGGGCAAATTCCAAATGGAAGTGAGCAGGGCACGTGCGTGCCATTATGTAGTCATTTGGAATGCACTTGGCAAAGGGAGCGATGTAATTTCCTCATTATCTTCAGCTGGGATTTTCCCATGACAAGGCAGCACATGTCTGTCAGCAGATGTCGCTGTTTTACTGTCATAGCAATAATCGCATGCCAATGTGCATTTGCTCATTTAGTTTACACTCTAAGTAGATTGGTCTCTTCTAAGCGAGATCCCATTTCGTCGATCATCCGACGTGACGTCGAGAGTGACCGACTGAAAGGGAACTAATGTTAACTAATGAACCTTATTGTGAAGTGTTACCATTTATATAAATGTATCTGTATAGCCTGCAATAAAGCCACAATACCAACTACTAGGGATGTGCCGATACGAGTATCGGTAACGAATGGTTCACGGGGCAAATTCCAAATGGAAGTGAGCAGGGCACGTGCATGCCATTATGTAGTCATTTGGAATGAACTTGGCAAAGGGAGCGATGTAATTTCCTTATTATCTTCAGCTGGGATTTTCCCATGACAAGGCAGCACATGTCTGTCAGCAGATGCCGCTGTTTTACTGTCATAAATGTATTTTTATTGTTGCTAGCATAACTGTTGCAAATAAACATACATTTTATATTTTAAAAAGTTTTTAAAATATGCTACATAATATATAAAAACTAATATATATAAAAACTTTTTAAAATATAAAATTTAAATTTATTTTATGCTGGTGTCCATCAACGAATCTGCTGATGGACACCGTGCTGCGTTGTCACGGTGCCAGCTGAAGATAATGAGGAAATTACGTCGCTCCCTTTGCCAAGTGAATTCCAAATGACTACATAATGGCACGCATGTGCCCTGCTCACTTCAAAGTCCCCACTCCAAGGATTTTAAAATATGCTACATAATATATAAAAACTAATATATATAAAAACTTTTTAAAATATAAAATGTATATTTATTTTATGCTGTTGTCCATCAACGAATCTACTGATGGACACCGTGCTGCGTTGTCACGGTGCCAGCTGAAGATAATGAGGAAATTACGTCGCTCCCTTTGCCAAGTGAATTCCAAATGACTACATAATGGCACGCATGTGCCCTGCTCACTTCAAAGTCCCCACTCCAAGGAGATAGGGATGATCACTTCCATTTGGAATTTGCCCCGTGAACCATTCGGTACCGATACTCGTATCGGCACATCCCTACCAACTACCAATAGGACGTTTCCGGCCGACAGCAAAATGAAAATGACATTTTTAGAAAATAGCTTAGATGTAGTAAATTACTTTTGCCATGTTGCTGTAGCTTAGCTTGCTACATTTCCGAGGGCTGTAGCTTTAGTGTAGTGAAGCTTCATTTAATGATGAGTAACTGTTAGCTACATTTTCCAAGTAGCTTGCCCAACACTGAGAATTTACATGAATCACTCAAAATGATTTACTATGGTATGTGGTAGTCAATTTACTGGTATTTGCGCCATTATTTACTGCCAAAAAAAGCATGTCTTAACCCATTTTGCGCTTGACATGGCTGCAATTGTTGCTGCCAGAAGGAAGCAGCAACAGAACAGAACAGAACAGACAGAGCTTGGTAGAAGGGAGATAATTTTTTCCATTTGTATTAATTTATTTGGAATGCCAGAGGAAGACATTATCCAAACACATTGATTACCATATATAAATAATGTGGCAACATTATTTTGAAATTACGTCGCTCCCTTTGCCAAGTGAATTCCAAATGACTACATAATGGCACGCATGTGCCCTGCTCACTTCAAAGTCCCCACTCCAAGGAGATAGGGATGATCACTTCCATTTGGAATTTGCCCCGTGAACCATTCGGTACCGATACTCGTATCGGCACATCCCTACCAACTACCAATAGGACGTTTCCGGCCGACAGCAAAATGAAAATGACATTTTTAGAAAATAGCTTAGATGTAGTAAATTACTTTTGCCATGTTGCTGTAGCTTAGCTTGCTACATTTCCGAGGGCTGTAGCTTTAGTGTAGTGAAGCTTCATTTAATGATGAGTAACTGTTAGCTACATTTTCCAAGTAGCTTGCCCAACACTGAGAATTTACATGAATCACTGAAAATGATTTACTATGGTATGTGGTAGTCAATTTACTGGTATTTGCGCCATTATTTACTGCCAAAAAAAGCATGTCTTAACCCATTTTGCACTTGACATGGCTGCAATTGTTGCTGCCAGAAGGAAGCAGCAACAGAACAGAACAGAACAGACAGAGCTTGGTAGAAGGGAGATAATTTTTTCCATTTGTATTAATTTATTTGGAATGCCAGAGGAAGACATTATCCAAACACATTGATTACCATATATAAATAATGTTGCCATAATTTGCTCTGCTTGTTTGGGACCTTATGCTCATTTGCACTGGTCATTATGGAAATGAGATGTTACATCTGTGTTCTTTAACGTGCCATTGTCACACGCAGAACTTTCCACGTGCTTTTTTGGAATTGCGCTTTCATGCTAATTTTCCTTGTTTAGTAAATCTGGCCGTGCCATTGTCAGTAGATTACCTGCAGAACTTTCCACGTGCTTTTTTTGGAATTGCGCTCTCATGCTCATTTTCCTTGTTTAGTAAATCTGGCCCTTAGACTGTTCTACTTTACTTTTTAGTTAAGTGAAATCTTGAAAAGACACAATCAGTGGCTAAATTAATGAAAAATAAAGCATCAACAGGTGTTGACATTTCCCAACAGCACAGCAGTAATGACTTTATGAACTACTTTACTTCCAAGATCGACACTATTAGAGATAACATTTTAACCATGCAGACGTCAGCTACAGTAACGCATCAGATAGTGTGCTATAGATCCCCTGAGGAACAATTCCACTCATTCTCTACTATAGGAGAGGAAGAATTGTATAAAATTGTTAAATAATCTAAACCAACAACATGTATATGTATTCCATCTAAGCTCCTAAAAGAGGTGCTTCCAGAAGCCATAGATCCTCTTCTGACTATTATTAATTCGGTATTGTCATTAGAATATGTCCCCAAAACCTTCAAACTGGCTGTTATTAAGCCTCTCATCAAAAAACCACAACTTGACCCCAAAGAACTAGTTAATTACATACCGATCTCAAATCTCCCTTTTCTGTCCAAGGTACTAGAAAAGGTAGTATCCTCACAATTATATTATAGAATTAAATATTTTAGATATATAATTATATATATTATAGATTTCCAGTCAGGATTTAGATCGTATCATAGTACTGAGACTGCTCGCATTAGAGTTACAAATGACCTGCTCTTATCATCTGATCGTGGTTGTATCTCTCTATTAGTGCTATTGGATCTTAGCGCTGCGTTCGACTCTATTGACCACAAGATTCTTTTGAATAGACTAGAAAACTTTGTTGGCATTAATGGAAGTGCATTAGCATGGTTCAAATCGTACTTATCTGACCGCCATCAATTTGAAGCAGTAAATGAAGAGGTATCATATCGATCACAAGTGCAGTATGGAGTACCTCAAGGCTCAGTACTAGGGCCGTTACTCTTCACACTTTACATGTTACCCTT